CCAGTCAGAGTGTCTGCCTGTCAGTGCATGTCATAGCTCCCGGTCAGATGGCCAGAAAGTTGGACGGTCACTTAGGCTTTTATATATATATAAATAAGATTACATTTGAAAAACACATTAACAATCTTTATTCATCATAGGGATATGTTATATGAGATCCAGAAAAATGGTTGAATAAACCATATAATCATTTTTGTCTACAGGGTACTCTTAGAAATAGAGCTATTGGAGTCTATATTTGTACTTTTTAAAAAAAAAAAAAAATAGACAAAACAGCCAGGCTCTATTTATACTTTTGATGGAAATGGTTAAAATGCTATCTCTGGAATGGGACCAATTTGCACTTCATTGATAAGCATGTTTGAGAAACTTGAACCATGACTGATACTTATTTATCTCAAAAACACTAAACTATACTATTTAAAATATATATGTCGATTCTTGAAATGCATGCAGAAGAAGAATTGCATTTAAAAGCAGCAAAGTATCTTAGAGGCCCTCATTCAATTCCTTCTTTTAGCTTTGAAGATGGAAGTGCAAATAGGAGAGTGATTTGCCTAAGATCACACAGCTAGTTAGGAACAGATCTGGACGTCTGACTTATAATTAGGTCTTAGGTCTTACAGTCCAGTGTTCTGTCCACACTAGTACAGAGATGATAACAAAAATGTAACAAGTAAACATTGAAAAGTCTCCTCTGTCATTCCTGCCCGTGTCTTCAAGATGCCTTAATAACTCAGTGGTTCTCAACCTTCCTAATGCCACGACCCTTTAATACAGTTCCTCATGTTGTGGTGATCCCCAACCATAAAATTATTTTCGTTGCTACTTCATAACTGTAATTTTACTACTGTTATGAATCGTAATGTAAATATCTGATATGCAGGATGTATTTTCAGGGGTTGCAACCCACAGGTTGAGAGCCACTGCTTAAATGATACTGCGATACTGCTACTGTTGCTGGTGATAATTACTATTTCTTAAGCCTCTGCGTGCACTAGACATCAAATTAAACACTTATGTTTACATTATTATATTTACACCATGAGATCTACAAATGTACGTGAAAATGCTGTTGTGGTTAACACTAAGATATAAATTAAAACAAAGCATCATTCAAGTGATAATAGCTCTTTGTCTCTAACTTGTTCTCAGTCAATGGACATTGAAACTATTGGTGGGAAAG